TTGGGTCGTTTGTAAAGTCACAGATACTGTACGGACAATACAGCTCAGTGTATCTTGCTCTGTTAAACGGAAAAAGTGACTTTACTAGGCTATACTGGATTAACACCATGCATTTCCGGTCAGCGGGAAAGCCGCGCCACCAGCTATCACAAGACCCGACCAAGTCCATGGTTGACACCCTCTCATTAGCATGTTGTGCAGAGGAAAAATAAATGTGGAACTACATTCAGAAATAAATGTGTGATCAAAAGAAAATAAATGGGATGAGTTTAGCATTTCCTTAAACATTTTCCATTTGTCCACTAATTTATTTTATTTATTTGCCTACTTTAATCACATGTATAATTATTTCTATATGTATTTAAACAAGAATTTGTGTATTTATACAGACATTTATTTATTTATTTGCATATTTATTTATTTATTTGTGTATTTATTTATTTATTGTTTTTGCAGGTTTCGTACTCCATACCGGAAAGGGGACTTGTCACAAAAGTGACCGAGAGGCCACATTTACAGAGTTTGAAAGGTATTTGGGGGGGGGGAAATGCGTGAAACTGTCCCAATATCAATATTTTCTTTAACTCTCCATAGTTTTGTTGAGGATAACGAAAGAAAAAAGAAAAAAAAGTGCTGGTCACATGATCTGTAGAAGGGCGGGGCTAATGGTTCGCTCGAGGAGTTCTTGGTGAGTTGACGGACAAAACCCAAACTGTCGCGCAAAAACAGCTGTATATATTGCCTGTCTTTCAGTTTAGTATGAGCATATTTGTAACGTCAGTTTATTCGCGCAGCGTTTTGATCATTTCTATGGCTTCGGCTCATTGTGCAGCGCATCTTGTGTTTACTGTTGAGTGTTAGCAAGCTAGCCTGCTGTACAATGAGAACCGTAGAGTGTGCATCTACACCCAATTCATGATAAATCTTTGGTCATTTCATGCTTTACCTATCAGTATATTCACAGTTTTGTAAATAATTTAGTATTTAAAAATAAAAAAAGAAACCTTACACTTAAAATATATCGAGGACGATTGAGGATCATAATTTCACCGTTTTTCTCGCTCCCTCAATTCTAGCTCGAAAAACATGGACCAAAAGATTCCGTACGATGATTATCAACTGCCAGTAGTGTTTCTTCCTTCCTATGAGAGCCCTCCTGCATGGATCCCTCCACAAGAGGTGGCTGTTATTGAACGCTATTTTTCCAACTCATCTTTTGTGATCACATTGACCTAATTTACATCTTTCTTTCTTATAATCAGAGGATACATCACCCTGACTACAACAATGAGCTCACTCAGTTCCTACCTCGCACTATAGTGTTACAAAAGCCCCCTGGTGCACAACTGGGCTTCAATATCCGTGGAGGAAAGGCCTCACAGCTTGGTATATTTATTTCAAAGGTCAGTTTTGCCTTTTAAAACCTTCTTTATCTTTCGGCTAAAGAATTGACTTCATCATCTTGGCCTTGCTCAAAATGTTTTGACAGGTGGTGCCAGATTCAGATGCCCATAGGGCAGGACTGCAGGAGGGGGATCAGGTGCTTTCTGTCAATGACGTGGACTTTCAAGACATTGAGCATTCAAAGGTAAGATCTGATATGTCAGTCCGAAAGGCTGAAACACGCAGGATGTCTCGTCGTCGAAATAGTATTGGTGTGATCTTGATTTCTCTCCTAGGCTGTGGAGATTTTAAAGACTGCAAGAGAGATTTTGATGAAGGTCCGATACTTCCCTTACAGTGCGTATTATTTTCATCCTTCCCTTGAGATAAAAAAAAACAAATCAGACATGATGGTTTCAATATGTAGTGAATTCCTTTATATTGTGATATATTTTATGATATTCTAGTCAAGTTGTGTATTTCTTTCTATTCGAGGTCTATAGTTGATTATTTCAGATACTGTAGTCAAGTCACCTTTATTTATAAAGTGTTTTATGCAATACAGATTGTTTCAAACCAGCTTTGCAGTAATAAACAGGGAACTTCAAATATGAGACACATTTAATTTCTGCTGTAAAGCATCTCTGAAATGACAAGTGTCAGTAGTGTTCAAGTATTCAGTGTTGATATTTACAGCTATTGAACTTAACTGAAACATCAGTTATGAAAATTCCACTATAAGCAGCTATTAACAGTTATTGTCATTATTTAGCACAAGTCGGTTCAATATGGATTCAAATCAATTCAGTAACTGTTGATGTCGTAAACAAATTCAATTCAGCTGTAAAGTAGCTCTACTGAAGACAATGGTGCAATCCAGCTCATTTCAAGTATTGTTCTCATCCAATAGTATCTAATAATCTGATAATATTACTGAATGTTAAGTGTTTTTTTAAACCCCAATTTAGCAAACCAAATGTGGCAGTAGTGAGCATTTCAGTTCACTTATTCAGTTGGAGTACCTGACATAAATGGGTTGTGCATCTGTTTTTCTAGACTACCAGCGGCAGAAGGAGAGGACTGTACACTAGGTGGCAGAGCTGACCTTCATGACTGAACCGGTGCAGTGACGCAGCTGATGAGGCGTTGGTGTGCCAGCCAAACCTTCAGCTGCCCTGCATCATCTTCCTCCCACTAACTATTTGCTCTGACTAAGAGACTGCTCAAAGAAATCATCTTCAAACACTTCACGACATGCCTGATGATTCACAGCTTCTTCACCCATAGTGGTGGTTTTGAGTTGTGCCAGTTTTGAATGCAGCTGGTGAAATTTTCAGATACTTTCCCCTCTTCTCTGTCTTCTCATCATTTCCTTTCTTCTGGGAAAATAAGCATATTCTATGAGATACACTATATTGCCAAAAGTATTGGGTCACCCCTCCAAATCATTGAATTCAGGTGCTCTTCAGTGAAAGTGAAATTTCCTCACTACTGAATATTCCACGGTCAACTGTTAGTGGTATTATAACAAAGTGGAAGCAATTGGGAACAACAGCAACTCAGCCACGAAGTGGTAGGCCACGTAAAATCACAGAGCGGGGTCAGCGCATGCTGAGGCACACAGTGCACAGAAGGTGCCAACTTTCTGCAGAGTCAATAGCTACAGACCTCCAAATTTTGTCTGGCCTTCAGATTAGCTCAAGAACAGTGTGTAGAGAGCTTCATGGAATGGGTTTCCATGGCCGAGCAGCTGCATCCAAACCTACATTGCAAAGTGTCGGATGCAGTGGTGTAAAGCACGCCTCCATTGGACTCTAGAGCAGTGGAGACGAGTTCTCTGGAGTGACAAATCGCACTTCTCTGTCTGGCAATCTGATGGACGAGTCTGGGTTTGGCGGTTGCCAGGAGAACGGTACTTGCCTGACTGCATTGTGCCAGGTGTAATGTTTGGTGGAGGGGGGATTATGGTGTGGGGTTGTGTTTCAGGAGTTGGGCTTGGCCTCTTAGTTCCAGTGAAACTCTATAAAGACATGGATGAGCGAGTTTGGTGTGGAGGAAATTGACTGGCCTGCACAGAGTCCTGACCTCAACCCGATTGAACACCTTTGGGATGAATTAGAGCGGAGACTGCGAGCCAGGCCTTCTCGTCCAACATCAGTGCCTGACCTCATAAATGCGCTTATAGAAGAGTGGTCGAAAATTCCCATAAAAATTTTCCTAAACCTTGTGGAAAGCCTTCTCAGAAGAGTTGAAGCTGTTATAGCTGCAAAGGGTGGGCCAACTCCATATTAAACCCTACGGATTAAGAATAGGATGTCATTAAAGTTTAAGTGCATGTAAAGGCAGACGTCCCAAAACTTTTGGCAATATAGTGTATGTCGTGCATATGAAAAGAAAACATGGCAGATGTGTAATTTATTGAATGAAATTACTATAGACGGTTACAATATGAGTAAATTATGATCTGCTATTGATATCTTCACTTAGAGGCATTTGTTAAATGAAGCTGGTATTATGTTTAATATATATTATTTTATTAACTAGGTCTTTTTTTGTGATTGCATTTCAATTTTGTATTACAAAGCAAAGCTGTTGTTTAGTGATTGATGCCTTGCTGACAAACACATTGCTACTGACTAATTAATTGTCATTAAATCAATATGCTCATGCAAAGTACTTTTTGTGCTCATTTTTAAAGCTAAATTTGTATGATGAAAAGTCTCAAAGTGGGGAGGGAGAAATGCCAGAAGGGAATATTATATTCAGATCTTGTTACATTGTTACACTTACATTTATGATGTTAGGTAGAGTGGCTTTGTTAATATACTGTTTTAAGTAGAGGTACTATATAAACTAAGTGTTATTATTAAAGCTATTAAAGGAATAGTTCACCCACAAATGAAAATTGACTCACCCGCAAGCCATCCAAGATGTTGATGAGTTTGTTTCTTCATCAGAATAGATTTGGTTAAGTTAGCATAACATGACTTGCTCACCAATGGATCCCCTGCAGTGAACATTGAATTTTGTTGTACAAACATTGTACAATGACAATAAAGTATTCAATTCAGTTCAATGGGTGCCATCAGAATGAGAGTTCAAAGCTGATTAAAAACATCATAATAATTCACAATTAATCCACATGACTCAATTATTGTCTTGTAAAGTGAGCTGCCTGTTTATAAGAAACAAATCCATTATTAAAACATTTAAACTTCAAACCGTTGCTTCTAGCCCAAATACATCCATTATCCTTAATAGCGCTTCCTCCACTCAAAAAGCCCATCCTCTGTTGTCCTCTCACATCAAAATCCAAAAATGTCTTCATGCTGGATTTGTTTCTTACAAACACACAGCTTTTCACTTAACAAGATGTTAATAGATGGACTGGAGTAGTGTTGGTTACTCATGGATTATTATAATGTTTTTATCAGCTGTTTAGACTCTCATTCTGGCGGCACCCATTCACTGTAGAGGATCCATTGGTGAGCAAGTGATGTAATGCTAAATTTATCCAAATCTGTTCTGATGAGGAAACAAACACATCTACATCTTGGATGGGCAGAGGGTACATTTTCAGGGTTAACTATTCCTTTAACATTGAGCTAATTCATCGAATTACATCATTTCATTACACAAAATTCAAATGTAGCTTCTGCTGTGTTATTGGAGCTCAGTGGAACAGATGGCTGTTTATATGCAAATACCAGGTATGCCATGATCTTGTAAACTAGTATTGTGCAGTGCCATTAATAAACACACTAAAAGATGCAACATTCTTATTAGGAGTTTTCAAAGGCATTTTGAACATAATTTATTTAAAATTTTTGAAGTATAAAACCATATTACCCTTCAATGAGTTAGGACTTCATATACATACAATTCAAGTAATCAAACACACAAATTTACATATCCATCCTTCCTCAGAAAGAAAAACATCAAAAATATTGGTAACTTTGATCCACTGTTATCATGTTATTGCTAACGTCATTTTCTTTCATGTTCAAGGGCACACAACATAAGTACAGAAAAGCGCAATCATAACATTCCTCTGCCTTCTGATTTCTTCTGCCTGTTACAGGCAAATGAACTAATACCACTTCAAGTAATAAATCTCGAGGTAATACCACATTGTGTCTTGGACTGCTTTGGTCGTATTACAGGGCCTTTAATACAGGTTTTCTCCTATGGTTGCTTGGTGCCAATCATTTTCACACACGCCAATACAGACACACTTCTTTGAAAAGGCACACAGACATAAATACACAAACACAAAAGGATGACATTGAGAGGAACCTCTCCCCTACCATGGAGACTTAAAACAAGGATTAAACGTTTAACTATGCTTATTATAAAGAAATAAACAACAGCTTGTAGGTGTAGCTTTATCAAAATCATTTAGTAATAAATTAAAGCAAAAAATATCCACCTTCAAAAGGGTTTTAAATTAAATTAAGATGCAGAACTGCATAATATTTTTTTTGTTCAAGCACCACTATCGCACATGCGATGCCCTAAGCAACTCAAGACATGGATAATGGAATGTGCAGATCTGTGCACCAGTGATTGTAAACACTTACTCTGTGAGCGTGAAGGAGGAATGTTGGCATCAGCGAGCTATAAGTAGGGTGAGAGGTAACTGGACTGACCCTGTCACACAGACCAGAGTTAAAGACTGTCCATTTATGTCAACCTTTTTTTGAACCATTTTAGCTACTGTCCTCATTCTCTTGAGCATCCTTGGTCAAGCTCTCATCCACGTTCTCCAGCGAGTCTCCACGCTGGATGGACAGTTCTGCTGGATCCATCATGGGCAGTTCACTCTGTATGGGGTACAGCCACGGCTTATGATCTGGAGAATTTGCTGCTTTCCATGCAGGGTAGTTCTGACCGGCTTTATGGACGCTTCTTAAGACCTGTGGAATGGCACAAGAGAATGAGGGAGTGGTACTAGTATCAGCGGAAGCGGCACTGAACTTTGTTTTTTCATTCTCGTGTAACCCAGACAATGAAATGGAATCCAGTTTTACTTCATTTTCAAGCTGTGCAGTGACTCAAATTGCAGCAAGTCTTTTTTCTCAAGCCTAGCTATAAATAAACAGTGTTTCTGGTTTCTGTCTGAGTCTTCAGAATTTTTGGCAGCACAATGTATCACAGTGCGAAATACTGCCTATAAAGTCTGACTTCTGAACTGAAGTTAATGAGTCTTTTTTACGTTTTGTTTTAATACAACAGTATTACTAGACATCAAAACAATCCACTTAATCCACAAATAAAATTGTATTTCAAATAAATGCTTTTCTATTGAACTTTCTATTTAAAAAAATCCTGATAAAGAATGTATCAAGGTTTCCACAGAAATATTATGCAGCACAACATTTTCAACACTGATAATAATAATAATAAATCATTCTTGAGCAGCAAATTTGACGCTAAAGATTGGAGTAAGACTGGAGTAATGATGATGAAAATTCAGCTTTGCAATTAGAGGAATAAATTACATTTTAAAATATATTCTATGAAAACTGTTTATTTCAATTGTAATAACATTTCACAGTATTACTTTTTACTGTATTTTTGATCAAATAAGTGCAACCTCGGTAAGCATGAGAGACGTTTTTCAAAAACATTTTTGAATGAAAGTGTATATATACACTTATGACTAAAATCTTAACACTTGGGGCCTGTACCATGATGGTAGTTGAACAAATTCAGGGTTACAGCATTAGTTTCGAGTTGACAAAACCAAACCACTCCAATCCAGCTTTGTTGGTACCATGATGCTGATCATCAGCTTTCTTTGTCAACTCAGGCTTTGATCCTGAGTTTGTGGAGCGCGTGCGCATGAATGTTTGACATCAGTGGCGAATAACCAATCACATGCCTTGCAACACAGAGCAAGTGTGATTTACTTCTCACGAGAGAGCCAGCGAGATTCAACTCTCTTTTGCTAAAGGTTAAGAGATTGAAGAATATGAGGAATTTAAACGCATTTACTGTACATTGAAGAAAGTACTTGTCCATGAAAAGAGGATAAATAAAAGAAATGATCTCGCTCTATAAGTGCAGTCATAAGTGGAACTTGTGAAGTTAATTTATATAGTTGATATTATATAGTGATAGAGACTCGAACATGTAAAGTCACATGTAGTCATTTTTAAAGCATTATCTATTGATTCTACAGCTTATTTATTTATATTACATATGATCTGTATATATTAATATTCATTTTCTAAAATTGCTTGTGTGTAACGGATTAATAATAATTTAAATCATATAATAATTACATAAATCATATAAAATAATTCTAAGTAATTATCTTTTTTTGTTTGTTTGTTTTTTTACTATATAGTGACCTTTAATTTGGAGGAAGAGGAACTGGGGGAGTGACTTTTTCGTCAGACATGTGTCACTGTGCTCACATCTGATTGGTCCAATTTCAGTTTGAGATCTCTTACCCAGAACAAATCCTGCCCTGGGGCAGGTTAGCTGTGAAGTGTAAGTTACTATGGCAATGAATGCCGCTAAAAGCCAAGCCACTTTCAAGGTACCTAAAAAACCCAGGATTGGTGCAAACTAAACTGAAACTTACCTGGCTAGCCAGCTAATCCGGCTTCATGGCACAGGCCCCTGATTAATGGTCAATGGAAAGACAAACACCTCAGTGTTCAATAATAGTTTATAAACACCAAGCGTGACAAACAGTCCACGTTATCAGTGCCCTTTGGACAGAGATACTGTCTGGGAACACTGCAAACAGCCCTACCATATGCAGTAACAATTCACAAGACTATGAAAAAAAAGGCCACAATGCAATGTCATACTGAGCTCCTGTTCTTAATTAGAAGAACATCTACATCATAGTTATCTTTGGATAACAATCTGAACACTCAATGAGGGCTGAAGAATTATTAAAAGCGTTAATAAGTGTAAAATGCCACTGCTTGCGGTGTCAGTGATTATCATGAATGATTAATAAAGAAAAGAGATTTGTATATAATAGGAGCCTAAGCGACACTCTCTTTTGTAAA